TTTTCCCCTTGACAGATTAGCCAATGCTGGAGGTAAGGAGCCCCAGGAACTTTGGAGGTCAGATCCAGCAGGACCTAAGATTTGGGAAGATCTGGGATCTAGAAAAAACCTGAATCTGAAGTGGCCTGAGATGTAAGGAAGTCCAAGGTCTGAGGAGACCAGGGTTTCAGGATTGTGAGACATCTGGGGAGGCTGGGAGATCCCCTCAGAGAGCAGTTGAAATCTCAAGCCCAAGATTTCCCTTTTTGGGGAAATAATTCCCTGCCTATTCTCTAACCTAGCTGCGAGATTTGAATATGAGTTCTGCACAGAAGAGGTAGGAAAAGGAAGGTCTCCCAAAAATGGCTCCAAAGTCCATCACTGGCTGCCTCAGTCAAGGGGCAGATGAAGGGCCAACTGTAGCACTGTCTCAGTCTTCCCTCTCTTCTTCCCTGGGGTCCTACTGCTAGAGCTTTGTCCCACATCACAGGGTGCTGAGGCTCCCAACTGTCCTTCCCCTCTATTTTCCCTCCAGCCTTCCTCCCTGAGGATCTCTCCTCCTCCAATTGCCTGTCCCTCCCTCTGTCCCCTTCTATCCTACCTCCTTTCCTCCTTTCCTCTACTTCTCCTTCCAGTCTCCCTCCTCCTTTTCTCCTCTCCTCTCTATTAATTACCTATAATTTGAGTAAATCCCTTCATTTTTCTAGGCCTCAGGCTTCCCATCTATAAAACGACTCCCCAAGCTCTAACATCAGGAAACCTCCATGATTAAGGGATGAGCATGAGCTCAGACACTCCCTACTCCCCCCAAAAGAAACTGTTGCCCCCATTCCATGGCCCAAGTGCTGATCTCCCAAGGAACCCCCTGCAAGAGTCCAGTTGCTGTGTTGTCCATCTTGGTAAACGGCCTTAATTTTTTCCATAATAAATAAGGCAAGATTCTTAGCTGTGAGGGTGTGGGGAAGGGGAGCCATGAGATATTTGAGGAGTAAGTAGGTGAGTTAATTTGGGGGGGGCTAGGCAATGGGGTTAAGTGACTTGCCCAGGGTCACATAGCTAGTAAGTGTTATGTGTCTGAGGCTGAATTTGAACTCAGGTCCTCCCGAATCCAGGGCCAGTGCTCTATCCACTGTGCCACCTAGCTGCCCCTGGTATGTGAGTTAATTGGGGGGGTCACTATGGTAAGGCTTGTCATAGTGAAGACCCAGTTGAGGTTATATACCATAAATTTGTAGTGGACCCAGTCAGCTTGGTTTTGTGACTTTCTCTAGCTTTGTTCAGCAGCACATGCATAGGAGTGAAGGCACTGGATTGGTGAAAGGGATCCAAGACTAAGCCTTGGAAGGGCAAAATGGTGATATGGCAAGGAGGCAAGGAACTTAGCAGAAGAGGATGGTATAAAGGTGAACTGGTTCACTAAGGTGTCAAGATGGTGAAGGGAAGAAAGAGTAGCTAATTCAGGATGATGGCCTGGTAAAGAACTCGGTGGGGGGAGGCAGCCAGGTGGAGCACTGGCCCTGAAGTCAGGAAGACCTCCGTTCAAATCCCATCTCAGACACTTGCTAGCAGTATGACCTTGGACAAGTCACTTAACCCTGATTGCCAAAAAAAGAGAGAGAGAAAGAGAGAATTGATGGGAGGATTAAATAGTGGAAGAAGAACAGGGTCTGGGTTACAAGGCGAGTGAAGAGTGAGAGGTGAAATAACAACAGATTACAATAAGGGAATTTCAGAATTCATGAATGTGGAAATGGTTCATTTGCGGATGAAAGCAAGATCAATTGGTATAACCATCTTTGTGGGTAGCTGAGGTAGGATGGGGAACTGGGTCATATGAAATTGTTGTTTCTCCTTCATTCTGAAAGAGGACCAAGACATCGGGAAGGTGATGTCATGACTTGCAAGTGAATTGGATTTAAGTGAGGGAGGACTGTGCAAAGTCACCAGCCTCACTTTCTCCTCGGGACCTATCTGGGTCCAGTGGCAAGACATAGATCAGGACCACTGAAGATGGCTCTGGATGCAGTGGGAGACCTTGGCCTTTTTAAGCTAAGGTCTTTAACAGGTGTCAGTTTGTCTGAAGCAATGCCCATTCAGTGATCAAGGCTAGGTAAAAATGAGGCAAAGAATGGCCTCGTTTACCTAGTCCAAAAAAAAAATCAATGTGGGAGGAGAAGACCCTCAGGGCTTCTGGCCAAAACAGAGACAATTGCTATTAACTGGCACTCTGATCCATCAGAGCCCAAATGACCAAATGAGACTCGGGGTGGGACCTATTGTTGGCCAATCAATGAGAGCCAAAGTGACTTGGGTTTAAGGCATGGTTCTTAAAAAGAAATCTAGCCCATAAACTCCAGGATATCTTTCAAGGTTTCAGCAATCAAAATTTATATTCCTTTGAGCAGAGAACCTGCAGGTAAGAGTATGATTCCCAATGTGGAGAGAGGGAAAGGAGGGAGGGAGAAGAGGGAAGGAAGGAAAGAAGGAAGGAAGGAAGGAAGGAAGGAAGGAAGGAAGGAAGGAAGGAAGGAAGGAAGGAAGGAGGGAAGGAAGGAGGGAAGGAAGGAGGGAAGGAGGGAGGAAGGAGGGAGGGAAGGAAGGAAAGAAGGAAGGAGGGAAAGAAGGAAGGAGGGAAAGAAGGAAGGAGGGAAAGAAGGAAGGAGGGAAAGAAGGAAGGAGGGAAAGAAGGAAGGAGGAAGGAAGGAGGGAAGGAAGGAAGGAAGGAAGGAAGGAAGGAAGGAAGGAAGGAAGGAAGGAAGGAAGGAAGGAAGGAAGGAAGGGAGCAGTGTTGCTCAACTAGAAGTGGTCAGTTGGGACCCCAGTAGGGCAGCTTCTACTACTCACAGATTGCTGACTGTTGTTTTTCCTTTGTTCTCAAAGAGGACCTTGACATCAGGAAGGTGATGCCATGACTTGCAAGTTAATTGGCTTTAAGTGAGGCAGGGCTGTGCAAAGTCACCAGCCTTGTCCTGAGGTCATATGAAATAATTAGTTGAAGAACTGTGAGGTTAGGGTATTTGAGGGAATACCTACATAAATGCTGAAGGAGAGAAAGACTGTGACCCAGGTATTAAACTCACTGAGGAAAGAAGGGAAGCATTTAGTAGACAAAAGTCTAGTAGACAGAATTTGGATTAGGTGGTAGAGATGGATTAAGTGGCCCTCAAAGAAGAAGAAGCATTTATTAAGCACCTACTATGTGCCAAGCACTTTACAAATACTCTCTCAACTGATCAGCACAACACTCCTGCAAGGTAGGTGATATTATTATCCCCATTTTACAGTGGAAGGAAACTGTGGCAAACAATGGTTAATTGACTCGCCCAGGGTCATACAGCTAGTGAATGTCTGAGGCTGGATTTGAAGTTGGGTCTTCCTGACTCTTAAGACCAGCACCCCACCCCTGCTGCCGAGGAGAGGTTATTGAGTGCTGGTGGTAGTGGGAGAATCTGGGAGTGTGGAGGGAACCAGGACTATTCCAAGTACTCTGTCTTGACAAATGAATGGGGAGAAGGAGTTCAGCCAGTGCTCAAAAGGGAAGCCTGGAAGGAGAGAACCAGGCATCAGTCAAAGCCAGAAGATGGAAGGAACAGGAAAGGAAAAGTTTTAAGATGAAAGCAAGTTTGTTATTTGTGGAGCTGGCATTCCAGAGGGCACAGTTCAGAATCCATGGGATGGAGAGGGTATGACCCAGAGAGAGTTTGTTCATCATTGAGGAATGAATTCAGATAGGTTTTCATTGTCCACAGGAGTCTGACTTCAGGGTGGAACTCCATCTTGCCTTACCTAGTTCACACCTTAGAACATAAAAGTTCAAGAGAGGAGACAAGTGCTAGAAAAGTAGGAAGAAAAGAAGCAATTATTAAGCTCCTACTATGTGCCAGGTACTTTACAAACATGATCTCGTTTTATCGTAGGTGCTATTATAATGCTCGTTTTACAGATGAGGAAATTGAAGCCAACTTTTTTTTTAACTAAATGACCTGCCCAGGGTAATAAGTGTTTAAGATTGAATTTGAACCACCTAGATGTTTGTACTGAAAACTGAAGGAACAGTGTTGCTCCTCTTCCCCTTAAAACATACTAGCAGGCAGAAGCCTTGATAGAATGGCCTTTCTCCCCTTCCCCAAGGGAGAAAATCCTGCTCAGTGGAACGGTGTTTTCCCTCTTCCAACTGGAGGAGGGAGATCTGGTAGGAGACCTGTGCCGATGGAATGGCATTTTCTCCCTTTACTCCAAAGGTAGAAGACCGGTGCTCACTGTAACGGGAAAGTTCTTTGCTTTACAAACCTTTAAGCATCATCAAAATATAACAATATGAGGAGGGGTTTCTTACATCCCAGTAGAACGTAAACTTTTTGAGTGCAGTACCTGCACTTGGCACATGGTGAGGACTTAAATACTTGCTAAATTCTTAAATGGCTCAAAGGAGCACTGAATTTAAACCTAGACGAGATCTTCATGATCCTCTAGTCCAATACCCTCCCTTTGCAAATAGGGAAACTGAGACCAAGAGACCTTTCTCAAAAATCACAGTGCTAGTAAGATCATAGGATTTAAGGCAGGAAGGGACTTCATCTTGCTCAACCCATTTTACTCCCCAGAGAAGCGGTAGACAATCCAAAGAAAGTGACTTGTCCATGAGGTCATATCTACAGCTAGTAAACTGCAAAGCCAAAAGAAGCCAGGACTCTGGGCACTGAAACCCCAGAGCTCTTTCCACTAAATTAAACTGATATTCAAGCTTGCATTATCAGGGTGAAAGGATAGTGGGCAGTGCAATGGATTTAATAGCTTCATTTAATCCAAACCGCAAGTGCCTACTGCGCGCCAGGCTCTATGCCGGCATACAAATATTTTTTTTTTTTTAAAAAAGCGCTTGCCCTTGAGGAGCTTGCACTCTCTTGGAATCACTCGCACAGGCTTTGGGAACACATTCGGATAGGGAAGGAAATCTGCCAGTTGAGTTACGTGAACGAGAGCGAGAGGGGTATGGGTGTGAAGCCCGGATAAGCGATCAGACAGAGTCAGAGGCTCCGGCCAATTAACAAAGGCTCGGCACGTCCCTCCCAGGCCCTCCCCTCCCGCTAGCTCGCGCTCTGACGCAGGCAGCGCGACAGACACCTCGGAACCGGTCGGCTTAGGACCCCGGCCGGCAGCCAAGATGGCGGCCCCCGTGTTGTGGGCGTGCGGCGCGCGGGCTCTGCGGGGTCCCCCGGGGGCACCGGCCTCCCGAGCCTACCGGGCCCGGCCACCCCCGCTCCGCCCGTCCAAGCCCTTCACCCCGGACCCGGCGGACCCGCTGACCCCGCGCTGGCAGCTGCATCCCCGCTTCGCCGCCAAGCAGTTCGGGCGGTTCGGGGCCGCGTCCGGGGTGGCCCCGGGCTCGCTGTGGCCCACGATCCCGCAGCTCCGGGAGCTGGAGGCTGAGGAGCGCGAGTGGCAGCCGAGCCTGGGCGCCATGCAGGAGGCGCTGCGGGCCCGCGCCGAGGCCCAGGAGCGAGAGCGCCGGGAGAGGTGGGCGCGCGCACGGGGCTGCGGGGGGGAGGGAGGTCCCCACGCGCGGGGCGGGGGGACGGGCTCATTCCTTCCTCGGGCCTGTTCCCTTGGCTGGGTCTGCGGGTGGCTTAGGCTCTAGCATTCGGTAACGTGGGCCCTTCCGGCACTCTGGGCAAGCCCTTACCTTTGTCTGGACCTCACGATCCCACATTTAGAGTCGAAAGGGACTTCAGAAATTATACAGAGTAGGCCAGCCTCCTTTTACAGAGGAAGAAACCCAGACTCAGAAGGAGGGAAGGATCATTTGACCCACTAGCCATGTAACTAGTAAGTGGCAAAGCCAGGATTAGAACCCTGGGCTTCTGCTTCCAAATCCAATGCCCTTCCCACTACTCTAAACAGCATCGCTGCAGAATGGTTCATCTATAAAGTAAGGAGTTGGATTAGAATCGAGTCTAATCTATCTGATCCAGACATTAAAATGTAATTGGGGAAATATTTGACAAAATACAGTGAAACATAGATGACATTAACATGTGGTTTTCTAAGTCAGTGTGTGGCTTGCAGGGATCTTTATGCGCGGTTTAGTGGCCTCTGTTTCTATTTCTACTTTGCACCTCTGGATTAGGTGATCTCCAGAATCGTCCTGTCCCTGGTGTTCTACAACATTTAGAAACTAGGGGCTTGGAGATCGTGGTGCCCTGAGTCCTGCCCCTATGGAAGGAGCTGAGAGCCTGAATAGTAGTGCCAAAGAGGCCAGCTGTGAAGTACAGAACCATGGTTTTATAAGATTTATAGCTGGAAAAGCCTGTTGAGTTATTTTCATCTATCCACCTAATTTTTCAGAATAGAGAAAACTAATGCCCAGAGAACGGAAAGAACACAGAGTGAGCTAGGTAGTTCAGTGGATAGAGTGTGGAGGCTGGAGTCAGGAAGACTTATTCAAATCCAGCCTCAGACACTTATAGTTTTGTGATCCTGGGCAAGTCACTTGACCTCAGTTTCCTCATCTGTAAAATGGGGGTGAAAATGATGGCACCTACCTCCCAGGCTTGTTATGAGTAAATCATAAAGCTCTTAGCACAGGGCCCAGCACATGGTAAGCGCTATATAAATGTTAGTTATTGTTATCTAGTTCAACTCCCAGTGTCATCATTGAGCTGTTCTGCAAAATGAGACAGCTTGGACACTAGATTTGGAGGCAGAAGACATGGGTTCAGATCACAGATTCATCACCTGGTAGCTTTCGTAATACTGACATTTTGTTTCTTGTTTGTTTTAAAAAGCAGGTAGGAATGAAACAGTCCAAGAGAGAAAGGGAGGGCATTCCAAGCCTAGGGAACAGAATGAGGAACAAAGACATAGGTAGGGATGTATAGGCATGTTCTGGAGGCAGAACCTGCTCTGGTTTACATGGCACACAGATGAGTAACACGAGAGAAGGCCTGAAAAGTTGTGCCACAGTGGAAGGCCTTGATTTTCCTTGCTAGGTATAGGGAAGAAACATTGTACAGTGGAATCTTCCTTCAGGGCCCAGGTCAGGTGACTTCCCTGGGCAGCCTCATCCTATGCCCTATTTTTAGTATTTTCTCTTTTTCCTTATCTTTGTCCATTTTCTGTTCTCTCCCTAGAATGCAAAGCTTAAGTGATTTGGTTTTGCATCCCCAGTGCTCACTATAATGCTGTGTATATAGTAGGCACTAGGTGGCACAGCAGATAAGAGTGCCAGGCCTGGAGTCAGGAAGACTTGAGTTCAGATTTGGCCTCAGACACTTAGTAGGGGCAAGCCACTTAACCCTGTTTGCCTCTATTTCCTCATCTGTAAGATGAGCTGGAGAAGGAAATGACAAACCACTTCAGTATCATTGCCAAGAAAACCCCAGCTGGAGTCAGAAGAGTCGGGCACAACGGAAACAATTGAACAACAATTAAAGTTCCTTGTTCCTGTTTCCTTATCTGTAAAATGAGGGATGACATGATCTCTAATAATTAAAATCCCTTCCAGCTCTGGCAGACTATTAACTCAAACCGAGAGCTAGATGGATCTTGGAGGTCACTGTAGAAATAGAGAAATGGAGCTGGGGTCTGGAACCCAGTCTCCCCTTCCCTTGTCCGTCAATCAGTAAACATTTTTAAGGTCTGCTGTGTGTCAGGCACTGGACTAAGAGGTAGAGATACAAAGAAAAGCAAAAGACAGTCCCTGCCTCAAGGAGCTCACAGTCTAATAACAGAAATGTACAAACAAACAAGCTCTATGGAGGATAATAAACTGGAAATAACCTACAGAGGGGAGTTACTAGAATCAAGACGGATTGGGGAAGGTTTCCTATAGAAGAAGATGGAGTTTGAGTTGGGATTTGAAGAAAGCCAGTGGGAGCAGGTGAGGAGGGAGAGTGTTTCAGGTATGGGCCACAGCCAGAGAAATGCCCTGAGCTGAGAGATGACAAGTCTTGTTCACGGAACAGCCGAGAGGCCAGTGTCTCAGATCAAAGAGCGTGTATTGGGAAGTAAGGTATAAACTGGAAAGGTAGGAGGGGGGTGGATTATGAAGGGCTTTGAATGCCGAACAGAGGGGTTTGTGTTTAAACCTGGAGGCAATGTTGCTGAATGGAGCGTCATTTGGAGTGGGGAGAGACAGGCAGACCCACCAGTAGTTATTGTAGTGGTCCAGGCATGAGGTGGTGAGGATCTACACCAGGGTGGCAGCAGTGTCAGAGAAGAGGGCATATTCAAGAAATGTTACAAAGATGAAATCGACAGGCTTTGGCAACAGATTGGATGTGGGGGAGGAGATGAGAAGTAGTAAGGAATGGAAAACAATACCTAGGTTATAAGCCTGGGGTACTGAGAGATCTTAGGAGGTGGGGGAAGGCTTAGAGGGAAAGATGAGTTCTGTTTTGGACATGTTGAGTTTGACGTGTCTGTCGGACATCTAGTTGATATGTGTGATAGTGGAGGTCAGCAGAGAGGTTGCCACTGAATAATCATCGTTATAGAGCTGATAATTAAATCCATGGAAGCTGATGAGATCAGCAAGTAGTATAGAAGGAGAAGAGGGCCCAGGACAAAGCCCTGTGAACTATGGTTAGTAGTGGATTTGGCGATTAAGATCATTATTAATTTTGGTGAGAGCAGTGTTTTAGTGGAATGATGGAGTCAGAAGCCAAGACTAAGAAGACAGTGAGAGGAGAGAAGGTAGAGGCACTTATCATAGATGACTTTCCCAAAGCATTTGGCCACAAAGGTCAGAAGAGCTATTGGACAGTAGTTATCAGGTGTAGAAGGATCAAGTGAGGGATTTTGAGGGTGGGGGAAGCATGGGCATGCTTGGAGGCAGTAGAGACCGAAGCTAAGTAACAGTGGGGATGACAGAGGGGCATTCTACTGGAGGAGATGGGAAAGGATGGCTTGGCTTGACTTGAGCAAGTAGAGGGTCACCACATGATACATGAGTAACGGAGAAGATGGCAGAAGCACCTGAGAGATGAGAGGAGGGCTCACACAGCCAGTGGCTTCATTTTCTTCTGTCATCCATTTGGCAGGACAGGCCCAAGGCAGCACCCGAAGGAAACACAAAATAAAACAGGCCATCCCTGTGTTAACTGATGTGGGGAGAATCCAGGTGGCCTTAGGAAGCTTCCTGGGGGAAACGGGACCAGAGGCAGTGTGATCCAGAGCAATGGAATTGGAGTCAGAGGAGCTAGATTCAGATCTGCCTGTGCCATTTCTATAGAGCACCTTGGGCAAATCACCTAATTCCTTTGGGCCTCAAATCCGATTCCCTAAAATGAAGGGGCTGTCCTAGGAGACCACTGTAGTCTCTCCCAGCTCCATACCTGTGCTTCTTTGTAGTGAATGTAGAGCCAAAAAATATGGGTTTCAATCTGAGTTCTGACATTAGCCATGTGACCTCCCCAAGCCTGTTTCCTCAGCCATGAAGTAGGGACTATATTCCTTTCACAGCACTCACGTGGGGAAGGTGATTTCTAAGTTATAAAACACCAGCACGATGGGAGTTATTATCATTAATAACTTGGGCCTTTCAGGGCCCTTAGCATTCTGAAAAGCAGAGATTTACCAAGCAGGGCCAAATCAAGTGAGCCACAAGAGGAAACAGGCCTGGAGCCCTGAAGTAGCTTTGCCAGTCCCCACTCACCCTGCTTCCCTGCCCTCCAGGGAGCAGCTCATTGAGGCCAAAATGGCCCAGATGCCACAAATGATCATGGCCTGGAGGCAGCAACAGCGAGAACGCTGGGAGAAGGCACAGGCAGAGAAGGCCCGGAGGGCTCGGCTGCAGGCACAGGCGCAGGAGAAGCTGGGGTATGATGTGGACCCAAGAAGCTCCCGCTTCCAGGAGCTGCTGCAGGAGCTGGAGAAGCAGGACCGGAAGCGTCTCAAGCAGCAGAAGAAACAACAGAAGGAGGCGGCAAGAATGGCGGCCCTGAAAACAGCTGCAGAGGCCACCAAGAGCCCTGTGAGCCCCTGCCTAGAGGGGCATGGTGACCTGGAGCAGGGAAGCCCAGGCAGCAAGCATGCTGAAAACCCTTCCAATAAAGCTTAGTGCCGAGTAGATTTGTCTGTGCAGACTTCTCTTCCTCTGCTCTAGGAGCTAGAGATATCCTACCTAGTGTGGAGTTGAAGGAACACTGTGTTTGGAGTCATTTTGAATCTGTCTCTTGAACAAACCCCTTCCTTTCTTCACCTGTAAAATGAGGGGTCCTTTCCAGTTCTAAGCCCATAGGTAGGATGGCTTGATCCCTGCCAGTACCTGGGGTCACTGTCTGCAGGAAGGGGAATCCCCAGGTCCCATTCCACCCCACCCCCAGTTTCTCAGCTGCCAGCTCCCTGCCCACACAGGGGGCTCTCAGCTTTGCCAACCACTGGGGGAAGGGGCAGGGGGGAGACGATGGGGAAATAATGGAGGAGCAGATGGTGGAGGGGGAGAAGGCTTCTGTTTACCAACATTAATCTCCAGTAATTAGCCAATTACCAAGGGGGAAAGTAGCCAAAACAGACAGCAGTATGTGTGTTGGAGGGAGGGCTTCACCCATCCAATCTCTCTCCTAGCTTGGGGGGGCAGGGGAGGACTCCCTCCAGGGCCAGAGCATCCCAGGGTTTGGCTCTGCAAAGCTCACCAAAGCAGCTGACTCTAAGGAAGGCCAAGCCTGAGCAGCTGGGGCAAGTGAAGGGCCAGTTTGCCCTGGTAAGGGGTAGCCCATCCTTCCCAGGCCCAATGAGAAAAAGTGTCTCCAATTCCCCATGGCTCAGGAGCCTGTCTGCATAGCCCTCATCCCATCCACATCCCTTGGTGAACAGGGCCTGGTTACACACCTTCCCAGGACAGAACACAGGAACTAAACCAGCTGCCCCTAGCTTGTTTCTAAAACTTTATTCACTTCAAAACCTGTATCAGAGACACATTTCTGGGGGGAGGGCAGGATGAAGGCAAGAGGGAAGGAGTCAGGACAGCCTGGCTCTGGGTTTAGTTTCTGCCCAGACATTCTATCTAGTGAACACCCTACCCAGAACTCCTGCTCCTCCTGCCCTGTTATAATGCAGCTCTTTGTAGGGCAAAGCAAGAGGGATTCAAATGGCCAGTTTGCTCTTCACTAGGCAACAGGAAGGAGCAGAGGTGCTTTATGCCCTCAGTTGCCTATTTACTCTAACCCAACACCCCCATTTCTCTCTCCCCAGCACACAGGCTGGTGATAAGCGATTAGCCTTAGCTATCCTTCATCTGACTTTCCTCAAAAAGAAAAAAAAAGCCAGATGGAAGAATTTGGACAGTTTTGTTACAAGGGAAGGAAGATCAAGTTCCTCCCACCCCTAGCCCAAGTCAGAATGGGGGCAGAAGGGGTGGAGCTGGGCCACCTCAGAGTCCCCTTAAGAGGGGGTGGGGACATCAGCAGTTTCAGGAGGAGGGAGGAGAGACCTGCTTGCTGGGAGCTGGGGCCAAGGCTCCATCTGTCTCAGCAGCAAGCTGGGCCACAGGCCAGGAGGGGCCCATCTGTCTCCAAATCCCCTGGCCAGGCCGCCAGCTCCAGCTCATACACACACACTTTCTCTCACACACATGCACACGTGCACACTCAGAAATGGGGGGAACGCTGGGTTAAGGAGGACAGCCTTATTACAGCTGTGTATGGCCCCAACTTCCTTGGGGGAGAGGGGAGTTAAAAGGGCACTCGGGTAGTCTTTTTGTGTTTTTTTTTCCACTTAAATAAACATGAATATATATATATATATATATCTCTATATATATATTTGTTTTCTTCTATAAAACTTTTTTGCCAGCAGTGGGGGGTAAGGGTGGGGACGAGCTCAGTTTCCCTCCCTCTCTCCCTGCATCACTCGTCATCAAAGTTCTGACTCAGGAGAAAATTCGCTGCCAGGTTCTCATTCTTCTCACAAGCGAAATAGGCCTGAATTACCAGGCTCTCAGGAAACCCCAGGGCCTTCAACTGCAGGAGATGGACCAAAAAAGATGGGAGTGAGGGGCGGAAGTCACAGGGATCACACTAGTTACAACTGGAAGAAAATATCATCCATTCCAATCCCAAAACCGCCCAGAAAGGCAATATGACTAGCCTGTAGCCACCCGCTGAGTAAGTAATAGAGCAAGCCCAGGTCTTCACTCCAAATCCCTGCTCTGAGCAGCACAAAAACCAGCTCTCATGCCCCACCTCCTGCCCTTGCTGGTCCCTTACCCTCTCTATGGCTTCTTTTTCCTGTGGTGTGACCTGGATGTAGTTCATCTGAGGGGATTCCTCACCAATGGCCCCAACCTCCCCCTCCACATCCGACATGTCTGCCAACTCCCCTGTGGGCTCATTCAACATCTGGATGAACTGTTCCTGGTGCCTGCTGATTTGCTGAGGACCAAAGTGGAGGAAGCCAGGTCACCAACAGGGTCATGAGCTTGCCCTCAATGGCAGTCAGGAAGCCCAGTCCAAACCAAAGACCCTCTACCTACCTGCAGTAATTGAGGGTTTTCCTGGCCTAGCTGCTGTAGCAGGGCTGGCAACAAGGCTGGGTTCTGCTGAATCACTTGTCGCATGTTCTGGAACTGAGGCTGGTCACGCAGAAATTCCAGGGGGTTCTCACCTGTCAAGGTAGATATGGAAAGGAGACCCCTTTAGACCTAGGCAAAGAGTCTTCTCCTTCCTGGCCTGGTGCCCACTACTTACCTCCCTCTGGGACAGGCTGCTCAGGGGCTTGGCTTTCCTGTACAGGGCCAGTCTCAGGTTCTGGACTCCCTGGGATCCCCTGTAAGACCAAAGGGGATATAAGATGCCCATTCTATCCTATTAGCATGAGCTGGGCCCTCTTTCCCACATACCTAGCCCTCTGCCAGATAGGGGGCAGAAGAAAAGGATTATGCATATAACACAAGATATCAAGGAGCTGGCCCAGGACAGCACAGCCTAAACATTATCACAACAACCCCACCACTTTTTTTTTTGAGAAAGGGATGTTGGGGAAAAGAGAACCCCCGGAAAGATCCATTATTCCCAAACTGGATCTGGAAAAAAAAAACCAACCAAAACCTTAGAAACTCTTCATGCCACAAATGGAGAAAATGAGGGTCAAGGTCATATAGGCAAAAATGAGCAGGGTAGCAGTCAAATCCAGTGCTCTTTCCACAACCCAGGGCTGCTTGCTTTTCCTTTAAAGTCAAGATGAAGCCCCACCTCCTCTATGCCCAGGGAAGATTAGGGAACCAGCTCACCGTCAGCAAGTACTCCACAGCCCTATGGGGGTTGTTGTAACTGGCTCTCAGGGCAGCCACCACACGCTCCCGCTCGTAGCCCATGGACATGATTTCTGTCAGCATCGTCTCATACTCGGAGCCTGTCACTAAAGATACAGAAGGAAGGCTCTGGGGTGACTGGGCCTGGTTCCAGCCCCCTTTCCTCCTTTTACCCACCCCCCTGCCCCAAGGCCCTCGTTCTGGTGCCCCACCACCCAGCCACCCACCTAGTGTAGAGGCTGCGTCATCCTCCTGCCCGCTGCTCCCTGAAGAGGGAAGAGAGCTGTAGAGTTGACAGAAACATTTTTATCAATGACTTGGATGAAACCACTGAAGGCAAGCTTGTCAAATTTGTGGAAGATGCCAAGTTGGGAGAGAGAGGGAGCTAAAATGCTGGATAATAGAGTCAGAATCTAAAAAGAGCTTGGCTAGAATCGAGGACCAAATTGAATAAGGTCAAGTTTAATAGGGATTGATGTTAAATTGTATACTTGGGTTCAAAAATTCAGCTGGTTAGACAGCACAGTGCCCGTGGTGATGATCTGGGAGTTGTCACAGACTACAAACTCAATACAATTCTGCAATGTGACAAAGCAGCCAAAAAAGGAAAGTTAGAACAATCCAAGGCTTCTCAGAGAGTCACGCTGTTCAAAGCAAGGAAAGCAAAAGTTCTGCTCTATTCTGCCCTGATCAAACCACATGAGAGGCGGACACTTCAGTTCTGGGCACTACAGGTGAGCAAGATGGTAAGAGGATGGGAGAATGGGTCCCATAAGGATCAACTGAAAGAACTGAAGAAGTTTAGGGTAGGAAAGAGCATATCTGAGGCTACAGGAGAGCCATTTAGGATCTGAAGGGCTATCACGTGGAAGACTACTGCTCGAAATAAGAGCAATGGGAAGCTGCTGAGAAACTGACTGAGGCTTAATGTAAGAAAAAACTTCCTAACAAGGACAGCTGTCCCAAAGTAGCTTGAGGCTGCCTTGGGAGGCCATGAGCTCCCTCACTAGGAGTTTTCAGTAGATGCCCAACAACCATGGGTTGGAGGTGTTGTTAGAAAGGATTCTTGATTAGGAACAGGTTGCTCTCAGTTGGCCTCTGAGATTGCGTTCCAGCATTCAGACTCTGTGCCCTCTGATTCGGGCTCCTCACCTCCCTCTCACCTTGAATCTCTCCACCATCCTAGGGGCCCTAGGTCTCTCTGAGAAGGGGGACAAAAGACTTGGGGAAGCATGGGAGCAGTCTCATAAATGTGAGCCTTGGATCAGATTCATTCTGCAGAGTTCCAAAGGGTAAAACTTGGATCACAGAATCATATAATTTGAGCAGGGACGGACTTTGGAAGCCATTTAGTCAACGCTCTCATTTTATAGATGAGGAAACTGAGCCCCAGGGAGCGTTACAGGACATATGCAAGTTCACACAACATAAAGTGTCAGCCCTGGGACTTGAACCCAGATCCTCAGACACCAGAGCCAGTACCTTGGAGTACACTGTACAGTGCACTGAGTGGAATGGGTTCAAGTTGCAAACAGGCAGATTTTGACTCAATTTAAGGAAAAACTTCTAAAAAATTAGAGCTATCCAAGAATGAAATGGGCTGCCTCAGCAGTCAGTTCCCTATTATTGGAAGTCTTAAAACAGAGGCTGGATGACAAAGTGATCAGGAATGACATAGAAGGAATAAGTCATTTAACTCCTTTAGGCCTTGGCTGCCTTGTTTATAAAGGAAGGAATTGGAATTGATGCCCTCAGAGGTCCCTTTCCAATACAGAGATCCGAAAGCATGAAAAGCCCAGAGTCAGGAGTCCCCCAACCCCAC